ACCAGCGTGAAAGCAGCGCTCGATGAGGCCGCTCGAACCGGCGCTGCCGTCGGGCCTCCCACATCCCCATAGAGTAACACCTCGTCATCGGTTGGCTCAGACTTCACAGCGGGCGCCTCACCGGGCTTCCATCTTGACTGAAACGGAACTCATGCGTGACACTGAACGAGAAGGAGGCGCAGAGCCTGAGAAGGAAACTTCACTCCCTGCTCGAGAACGCAGGAGAGCAGCAGGGTTCGTCTTCAGATAGGTTCTCAGCTCGGCAGCATCGACCCAAGCAGTGCCAATAAATTTTCCTGGGTCCTTTTGAATGTCATGAGAGGAGTATCTCTACAAAAGGAGGCATCAGAGTGAGGTTGAGACGAGAATTGACCGCAGAAAATTACCCATTCACGAAATCTATCCAGTACATAGGCCGGAACGTTGTGGGCGAGGTCGGGGTCATCGAGCTCGACGTCGTTCATGGCAGTGGGATGGAAAGGGGTGACAAATAATATTTATTACAGAATCTACATATTTCAACATTTTCGTGGCTTTCGGGCGGACAATTTTGGGGATTTGTTTTCGCCGCTCCGTTTAGACACTGTTTGTAGTAAGTCTGGAACACGCGGCGACGAGATACGCCACTGTGGGCAGGCACCGCCCACAGTGGCGTATCTCGTCGGGCCTTGGCGGTGCCTGACGAGTATGACTGTGGCGTATGTTGTATGTACTCTCTTCATGATGGTCTTCGGGGGACGGAACCTCTCTCTGGTCTGTATGTCCAGCATCTGAACCATATTGGCCGTTTCAGGTCAGATATACTGGAAAGGTCTGCGCAAAGGACGTACAATGAAAGACAAATACATCCTCAGACTGGGAGTCTTGAACCAGCGATTGCATCTGCGCCACCTGCCATAAGCGAGAAGTGTAAACTTTCGATACACGCGTAGCTTCGACCGAGGACGACGCACTATATTATCCTTGGAAGGCCACGTATCAGATGCACGATCCTCCAACTTCTCATCCGTCATGACCACTATATCCGCCTCTTCGAACCCAAGATAACCTTCACAGGACCATAGTACCGTGTCAGGCGATCAGCGATCTCTTGAGTTCTATAATAGGTTTTGATATGTAACTCACGAATCAACACGTCCTTGAGCCCTTGAACATCGCGGATGGACCCCTGCAAGCGTCCAAAATACTCGTGCTCCTCCCCCCACTGATAGTTGATACCGATGAGCAGGGCCTTCCTCCGTCCTACGCGCTCACGCTCTTTGCTTCCGCTGCTGGACCGACGCGGTAGTGGCAAGCGCGGGATGCTACGGACGACCTTGGAAAAGACAGGGGCCATCTTTCACCACCGGCCCAGTCGATAGTGGTGGTTCGAGAGAGAGAGGAGCCGGACGGATAGGTCTCGTCGACCTGGGCAGTGCATACACAGCCGCATACTAGTAGAGACATTGAATGATGAGCTCGAGACTCAATATTTAATTTCAATGATTCGAGTGCCTGACTTCAAAGCGCTCATGTTGGAATCGCTTTGGGAAGGAGTGTCCCACCGCCACTTACCAGGCGCCCACTTGCACTTACACGGTTCCAAGGAACTGTACCAATCGACGAAAGGATTTATGATGGATCGAAGAGTTCCTGAAGCTGTTAGATCCTGTGTGATATCTATGGAGCTATCATAGCAGAAGAAGTGCTTGGTGGCAGGATATTCCTATGCTTACAAGTTTACAACTGTGAATCTGATTGTGGCGTTGATGGTGTAAAGCTGTTGCAATGACAGCAGTCCCTTGACTAGGAGATGAACATACTGTGGATGTGTGAACAGAACATGTCCTTGAATTGAGTAGTAGCAAGGAAGTGACTCGATATAGCTATGCGTTATTCTCAAAAAACTGTCGTTGATTGCAGTGAAGACGACGTCGAGCGACGTCGATATCGAGTGGCGTTTCCCGCTGTGGCGCCGATCATTTTGTGTCTTGGACTTGAGAGGCCAAAACTGTATCATTGTCAGCCAGTTGTAGCAGAAACCTCGCATTGTCCACATTGCTGAAGTAGTGACTGCGAGGTCTTGCGAGAAATTGAAACAAAGCTGTTGAGCTTCATGATCGCCCTAGACAGCCAATCACGAGATCTATGCGGCACAGACAGTACAAGTATGAAGGCAGTGGAGAGTTCGATAGACATAACCCGGGAGACAGACGATAATGGTAGGGTTATACGACTTCACATGATAGGCTCGGTGGGAGGACATGAAGGAACGTCATGCCCACGAAGAAAAGCCTTCTTCCCATGACCATCATCTATTGCGCGGTCTGTAATATTGACAACGTTTGTTTTCGGAAGGCTGAATTCGGGTGAAGTTCAAAGTCGCTATAATCGAATGAATCACACGAGGTCGTCCGTGGCGTCTTGGTATACAACGTGTGTCGAGACCAGTGGTTGAATCGGCTTCTATACTCGAGATTACGAGCAGTGCCCCGCTGTGAAATAAGGACAGATGATTGTAGCAGGGAGAGAACACAGAGAAGAGGGGAGGACTGATCGGCATGATCCCAGGACCGTGTAACAACCTGTAACAACAATGTGTCGATTGAGTCGATGATCACGGTAGGCTTGCTATAACTCACCAATAACATAGACGGTGAGTACAAGATACGATGAATAAGTTAGTTGAGGAGATATCGTTCGAGAAGATGTCCAAGAACAGGGACAGTACACCTGTCGTGAGCGACCCAGTCAGAGCACACGTAAGTTAGAAGGGTTGAGAAGGAGCGCCGCGAAGATGCAATTCGGATGAATGTCCCCCCGCAGACGATGTAGTGTTGTTGAGCCAAATTCAGAAAGAATTAGAATGAGCACCGAAGACGACTTCACAGAAAATGTATTGGGGGGCGAGCACGATATATAGTGAACAAGACGAAGCCGGTGCGATATGATTTCGCAGAATCGCAAGTCGACAGTTTTGACAGGCCGCACGTCGGAGTTCAAATTCATACGGCACGGCGTGCGAACGCCACCCAGTGGGCCACATCCTCTCTGAACCAAATCATGTATTAGACGACCGTAGGATACAATGATTAAGATGATTAGTACGGATGAAATTAATGTAGTTAGTACAAAGGCGAGTTATACCGATATCTACTAGTACACAAGCAAAGGGGGATAGATAGTGAGGGACAAAACGAGGTGAGACAAGCATTCACTGGCGCCGAATGTCCAGACGTAACTGGAACTCCTTCCTGGCAGAATAATCATGTCCAGGGCGACCCATGATAAACACCTCGTCCCCTCTCTATGGTCAAAAATATCAATCCCTGTTCTCGGTTATAAGGCATGGTCAAAGATGGACGTACAAGGTGGCTCAAGCTTCCTATCTGCAGAAGGAAAAGGGCTTGTTCATGATCATGATGTAATTGGAACTGTGCGACTACTGCGTACCTGTGGTAGTTGTACTTCGAACTTCAGAGCCTCGTTCAATTCTTCCCTCTGCTCTCGGGTGAGTGTGTCGCCATATTCGTGCACCCATTTCTGCGCTTCAACGTGCTTGATGCAGGCAAAGCGGAAGAGTGCTTCACTGCGGTCCAGCGTCAACTGAAAAGGACGCAAGGACAAATTCGTTTATCACTTACTCAATCTTCTTCTTTAAGGCCGTCACAGTCACCGCCGGATTAGTCTCTATTACACAGTACGCCACGCTGGTTCAGCTCGGCGTATTAGAACATGATATTATTGGACTCACGCAGTACTCTGGCCAGTGCCTGTTGAACAAACGTAGGAAAGACATGGTTGAGTCTTTGTGTACAGCATAAGGAGACAATGGGTGGACCAACCTTAGTCATGGACCCATTAGACTCAGACGAAATCGAGCTCCTGGACTGGTCTGCCGAGGAAGCCCCGTCTGATGTCTCAACCTCCCAGCTGAACTGGTGGTCGGCGCACGAGGATATTGAGATCTATTTACCGAGAATTTATATATTATTCACTTCTAGAGCACACAGTATTATCATAAAGACTCACCACAATAGGGCCTGAACGCCTTTCGAAACGACAGTGTGGCCCACACCGGGTTTGGGAAGACGAGGTTGGCGGGTTGGACGACTCGGTACCAATGGGCTCAACTTTGGATCCACGAGTTTGACTCCTCATTGTCCCTCGCACTTTAGTCCTCAACTTGGACCCACGACTTCGGAGATACTTCTGGCCGCGCCGAATATACCCAATATCAAGAGTGAGAGCTCGAATCCTGAAGCATGTCTGCGCAACTCCAGGACTGGGAGGCTGCACAAGTTCCGCTAGCGTTCGAGCCCTTTTCAATTTAAGTCGAACGTACACCAACGAACGGGAGCTTACATGTGGATCCTCGACGTTTCTCGGAGCAATTGCACTCGTAATGCAAAAGATCCAGCAATGTTCCAGAGTGACACGAGTCGAAGATTGCCTACGATGACTAGTTGGTTTCGTTCGATTAACAATTGAGTTGGATTGAATATGACGTACCGTCAGTCTGCTTCCCTCAGGCAAAGGACGGACGAGTAGCTTGTGCAGATCCTGCGGGAGTGTTCGATGACGAATCAACAACCCATTGACCTGGAACAACTATGCGGGGACTCACGTCGTCGACTATTTGCTCCAAGTCAGAAGTAATGAGCACTGTGCGATGTGACGATTTAGCACCGCACCGCCTGCTCTTTGCAGGTTTGATAACCAACCTTCGTCAAGCCCATCCTTCTCGTTTGAATCGTTGATGGCCTTTCTCTGGTCCGTGTGGCCCGCATCTGACGGCGTGCAACTCATATCAGTCGGCTGAGCAATAGAAGAGACAGTATATAGTACGACTTACAATGAAACACGAAGACATCTCCAGGTCGAGCGTCCTGTACAAGGGCCTGGATGGCCTTGATCTGTGTATCTGGCCGTCAAAATCATTTATTTACTGTGATTGAGCATGTGCATACACACAATATTCGCCTTGGTAGGAAGCATCTTCCGATTTTTCGGGTCCTTTTCTTCGTCCGTCATGACCGTTACATCCTTCTCTTTGAAGCCATGATAAGCTGCGACAAATGAAGAATCAATGAGTATATTCTGCCCTGCAGTGAACAATGGTGAAAGGCGACTTACTAATCAAAGTATCCCTGAGCACCTTCACATCGTCGATGGGTCCGCTGAGAGAGCCGTACAGCTCACTTTGCTGATGAAGATAGTTGATCCCGATCAACAAAGCCTTCCGCTTAGTTTCACGGGCCCCAAAACCAAAACGCTGCAGAGGCGAGATGCACTGGCTGACGACAGGGAACACCATGGGTGGAACTGGCACTGGAGGGAGTCGACGATGGTGGTGGATAAGAGGAGGGGGTTGATAAAGAGCACGCAGGGCGCAAAGTTATTAGTCGATCTTCCATTCATCGCAAAGAGGTCCTGTACACCGGAGAAGATGAATGGCGGGAACAAGATGTGTGATATATTTGAAACAGGAGCGGGACGCTGAGGGGTACCGCCGAAGCTAACTTGGATAACTTAGGCGGGAAGGAGCATCGCCACAACGATGTGGCCCTGCTAAAGAAGGGCAGATTAGGAAAGCGTCAAGCGTCGCTAAAAACTGGAGGATCCGAGATAGGGAGAAATGCAGTTCGAAGGGAGAGACGAGAAACGAGATGAAGAGCGGTCAAGGATGGAATAACATATGTCCGCGGTGAGTACACAGAAGTCGAAGGTGCGGATACGGTATACCCCGGCATGGAACGATATTGCGGTGACGAGATGGCGGAACCGGAAGCAGAGAGAAATGGTATGGAAGTACAATGGGAACAACGAAGCGGTGGGTATATGTGATGCAGATAGGGAACAGTTCAGGGCAGGACAAGCGATGATGCAAAGCAAGAAGTCACAGAACCAACGATGGTCTCAACGTGTACTTAGAAGACGCTCGGTGTTAACGGTTCGAGGCGACCATGTCAATGAGAATGACGGAAGAAGAATGCGAACGACGGAGGAAGAAGCATATGAGAAAATTAATACAGAGGGGAGAGATGAGTATAATGTCATAAGGTATCAGGCGCGAGCATCGGGATATTGCCAACGACGCTAGGCCACCATCTTCGTCTTGAACCGCGTCTTGCACCAAAATGGGCGTCCTCTGTGCCCAACGAGAAATACCTCATCGGGATCCTGTAAAGTCAGGGTGTATGGTCAGTCCACCTTTATAGTACTCTGATGGCTGTTGAATTGCGCACCAGAGGAGTTAGACTGCCAATCTTAAGAAACATTTCGGTAAGCGATAAATGAGCAGTGGAAGTTGACCAGGGTACTGTTGGCTGACGTACCTGAGGGATCTGAACCTCAAAGTCGCGCAAGTCGTCCTCCCAGTCAGTCATATCACCACCTATTCTCTGGTACACCACCAGCCGTTTACGCCGCGCGAATGCAGACTCGTAAAACTTAGACCTGCATAGGCGCCGTAAGTAACGCTGTATGAGAAAGGTAGAAGAACAAGCTCACCGAAGCTTCTTGCGTAGCTCGTTGATCGTGATGCAGGGATGTTTCCCTAGTAAACCGGAAGTGGTCAAGTGCGGCTCTTTCATGTAGAGAAATCTCATATCGTCACTCACCTAGGATCTTGACCAAAGACTGGGATCGAGAAAGGCTCATGTGAGAAAGAAAGTATGTACATGCAGTATTTACAGAAACTACCTTGGTCATGGAACCTGAATTCTCCATATCATCCTCATAAGCTAGTTGATGGTCCGCACATGCGGAGATGGAGATCTATCAACCCCGTTCAGCTGCGAACAAGGCAGTGTAGAAATTCGAATAGAGTCCTTACAACGGTAGCCTCTGTCCTCACTTCAAGTTTGCAATGGCTTCCGCATGTCCGCGGAGCAACAGACCGAGCAAACAGGAGCTGGGCTGCAGAGAACTTCCGACGAGATGCGCCCTTTTTTGCTCCCATCTTCATTCGTGCTATGGCATGGACCTTGAGTTTCATGAGAGATAACTTGTCGGGGATGATAGAGCGCCGGATGAATTCTTGCTCGGTAGCGACAGTGTGAACACGGCGTGGACAACGACGGGGTCGCGCTTCGTGTCTTCCAACGACGACCTCAAACGCTAATCAATGAGGTCCACATCAGCACGGCGAAGGGAAGCAGACTAGAATTAACAACAAAATCGTACGCATGGAGTTATGGCGTTCTGGAAATTCGTTACAGCCATAGTGAGTTAGGTCGAGCATAGTACCGGAATGGCAGGAATCCAGTATCGCCTGGTCACCGCAGTGAGCATGTGCGTCGATGAGGCTTAAAAGGAGAGACATTACCGTCAGCCTGCTGCCTTTCGGTAGTGGATCCACGAGGAGCTTGCGGATATCCTAAAATATGCATTAGTCCTCGTATCAAAAACAGACTCGACAAGGTTCTTACATCGTCTATAATCCGCTGCAGATCGGCACAGATCATGACTGCCATACATACACATGTTCAGTTCGGACAATTGTTCCGCCCGCCCAAGTGGCGCGCTACACGGGTTCGCTTTAAAGGCAGTATTTACCTTCATCTTGGCCGTCCTCCTCATTGAGATCGAACTTAGCCTCAATTTGGTCCGAATGTCCCGCAACTACGAACCAGTTAAGAGCATTATTACTTTACCAGCCACCACACTGGACCTACAATGGAAGACAAAATCATCCCCAGGCTGGGCACCGTCAACCAAGGCTTTGATCGCTGCGATCTAACCATGAGCAACTCCCAGGACCAGTTCAGCATAAATACTTGATTTAAATAAAAACTGAGGAGACCCACAATATTGGTTCTCGAAGGCCACGTTTCTGATCCCATGGTATCGTTATTTCCATCGTTTAACACAACCACGTCCTCCTTCTTGAATCCATAACAGTCTGAATGCAACATGAAAAGCCAGATCAAAACCGCACAGCATACACAACGAGGGAAAACAATCTCACTAATGAGCGTTTCTTTGAGCTCACACACATCGCTCGTCGTCCCGTGAAGCTCCGGGTATATGTCCGTGGAGTTATACCGATACGTTATTCCGATCAATAAAGCCTTCTTCTGCCCTTCGCGTCCACTGCCACCGCCGAAGAAATCGGCGGCGGCAGCAAGTTGGCGTTGCAATAGGCGGGGGACAGCAGTCTGAATGACTTTGGATGCCTGGAATCGAGGAAGAGCGGGCATCGATAGGAAAATCCACCACATTGACTCGACAGGTCTATATAGACGGGAGAAAGGCTGTGGGCCAACGGAGCCTTGTTCTGAAAGAACGTCCTTCCATCATCGCATCCGAGGACCACAGTAGCTGTAATCATTTTTCAAGCTAACTGCTGACAGCAGGATCCGAGCATACGCGCGATGGCGGTGCGTGTTGAAATAGAGCACAGGAATCAACATGTCAACCACGTTTTTGCTCATACTTGAAGGAGCCCTCCAATTCCCGGATACATATGCGCATAGCTGTCTGGAGACACGCGGGCCAGCACTCCAAATTTCAGATGTGATTTCCGGGCGTTCGAGCTCTAGACTGGGAGCGTTAAACAACGGCGTGGATGCTACGGATCGCTGACGTCTCGCGCACGAAAGCCAGCGAAGGTGCAATGCCCATGACACGAGGTAGAATGCGGACTTCACAGAGGAATAAACTTCGCACAGACACCTTGTGCAGCTATCGACTATCACATGAGACCGCGAGAAATTCCCGCAAAAAGCGTCACGTACATGCTATAGATACCGGTGTCGGTTCTGAGGAGAAGCATCGCCTACCAAACACGCACGAGAGTCGTGACGCCACAGATGCCATGAATACACAGGCTCCATGGACCTCTTGCATGGATAAAAATGAGACCGCAAGGAGAGAGCTTCTACCTTCGTAGATGTGTCAGTGTCGAAGTGACAGTGCCTGAAGTTACAGCGGATCCTTCACGCGGTATTCGTCTGGAGGATGCTGAGGGCGACCTCGACGGGAATATTGCGGCAGAATCATCAATGATCAGCACTCCTTCAACCTACGTATGGTCCACAAACGAATCTTCCTCCTGAGAAGGACCGGTCACGGCGGCCAAAAAACAAGGGCATCGTCGTGTAAAATGATGATCAGTGAGAGTGGTACGTACGAGATGAAATAACATGTGCGAGGTTAATCACGATCCGTGTGAGCGAGGCAAAGTGGAGAGGATAAAAGCCCGTCGACGAGAGACGAAGGGTCGAAGATCTCGAGAACCTGTCGCAATCATGCCTTTCGCAGCAATCTCTCCCATCGCGCTCGCCGTGCCTCTCGTGCTCATTCTACCAACGCTCGCCCAGTCGTGTACCTTCACTAACATTCCAGACATGGCGCCTGGGGTGTTCAACGCTTCAACCTGCATTGAAATCAACGCGCCGTTGAGTACTGCATGGGACGTACTGCTCGACTTCCCGTCCTATCCTGACTGGAATCCGTTCGTCCGGTAAGAAAACATCAGCAAATCAGTGATGGCAGCCGAGTGCACTAACACACCCTCTACACAGCTCGCAGACCGTGACAGACGCGTTCGGTATTCCTCTCGATGATCAAACGCCACACGAGAATCTCCGCGCCATCATCGACTGCCAGATTCCGCCTCTTCCTCTTCCCGTGAACGCCAGCACACCACCGAATCTCCTGCACGCCCAGTCGTCGTTCGAGAACATCACCGTAATCGACGAGAACTTGAACCGTGTCGCGTGGCAGAGCATCATGCTTCCCCAGGTCGTGTTAAATGCAACGCATTGGCAGGCTTTCACCGTGATAGAGGGAGAGGATGGCAGTCCTGTGACGCTTTACGAAAGTTTGGAGGTTTATTATGGTCCGCTGAGCTATGTGCTGGACGCATTATTCGCGGAGGGATTGCAGGAAGCTTTTGTAGCTCAAGGTGTGGCACTAAAAGCTAGAGTTGAGGGGATGGCATAAGCATGCATGAGACGGTAGCCTCATTATCACATGTATGGGAACCCAAGTTGATGCATTGGTGAATACCATCTTGATTGCCCCGCAACGCCAGAGGGAGTTGCTCGTCCTTTTAACTCACCCGATCGGAAGAGATCGTCAAGCTCACGCTCCATGAGTCGACATTCGAACTGATGGAAACGTACCATAGGGTTTAAACAAGCCTCGATATATGGGATAAGAACATAGGAAGCTGGCACCACTTCAACTGACTTGTACCTTGCATTCTAGTCGCGCTTTCTCCAAAGAGATAGAGCAGCCATAGTGAGCGACAGAACACAACGCGAAGGTGGAAAGCAATGGTTGTTGAAAGAGAGAATTTTTGGAGAATTTAGCGCCCGAGCACAGCCGCCCGAAGCTCGAGCAACACGATAACGTGATCTTCACGTGGCCGCGCATCCTCCTCCGACGGAGTGGCAAGAGTGGCGCAGTTCTGACCGTATGTACCGTCTGTATAATAAGTTGCAGACAACTGCACTCAAAATGCACCTCAGACTAGTTTCTCTAAGGAGCGGGTACTTAAACGAGTTTACAATGGCACACGAATGGAACGATAATAATATAATTAGGGCGCTCAGATAGCATGGCGGAGAACGGCGCTTCGCGGTGTAAGTGCCAGCGTGTATTGAGCGTGTAAGTAGACACTTGGTGTAGATGGTGTGAACGCACAAGTACACTGTCTGCCACTTCTCATTGACGATCAAGCTGCAGCCAAGCGCAGAATGAAACAGCACCACTCAGTGTTTTATGGTGTTACTGAAATAAGGAGCGCTACATACATGAGATGGTAAAGGCTCATCCGATTTCTGACCCGGAGACTACCATACCATTGATCACCTCAAAGCCCTAGATCTGCGACAGCATCCCTATGCATAAACAAAATCAATCCACACACAGACAAGACATCCCATTATAAAATAAAAGACACACCTGATGTCTCTCTCGTCGATAGGTATAGGCAGCACCCAGCCCACGAACTCGCCTATCCCGCCCATCGGTAGAGTCACGATCCCTCCAAACCCACTGACTATCGTCCGCTTCAATCGGAGCCTCTCTCGGAGTCGATACACCAACATGACATTCCCCAATCCAAGCCGCTCCGCATCCCGCATACTCAATTGGTACTTCCGAAAGAGGGTTTGTGTGACTGGGCCGCCTGTCATGGAAGGCGGGCAGAGCTGGTTGAAAGCATTGATCGCCCATGTTTTGGGCAGCCCAAAGCGGTCGCATATCAAGATCTGCTCGATAGGGTCCTCGAATTTCATCTTCTTGAGAGCACACAGCGCTTTGTCCTTGATATCCTCCATGTCCCATCGCCCGGCAAGATCTAGAACGCCTCTCCACTGAGACTCTGTCTGTGGCGGTATTTTAGGTCTGTGGCTGTAGAACCGGATAGTCGCTACCGTCAGCATAGTGCGTGAGAAGGGAGAGCCAGGAGCAAGCATCGTGCATACAGCCCATAAACTAAAACAAGAACATTACAAAAATGCTCGCTCTTCGTGCCGTCCAGAATAATGGGACACCGATCGACACAGCCTTCTAAAGGATTCGGAGGTGGAGGAAGGTTCCTGAAGTCATCGAAGAAGGGAGCGTGTCTTGCAAGGACCTGCAGCCTGAAGCGATAAATATCTCTCTCAACCTGTACGCATTGCAGTGGTGATCAATGACTGCCCGAAACGCATGAGGATCAAAACCACAGGGTAATTGCACGCTTACTTGGAAAATCACATCGCCATCGGACAGGTACCACAGCGGATGTCGACGAGTAGTAGCCATTATGACCGTCGCGCTATGGCTTGGTATTGACAGCCAGGTAGAGATGACTGCGAAGGATAAGTGCCATTCGCAACGAGGACCTAGTGAGGCATACGTGTGAGATGTCCCCTTCCGTACGTCTTTCGCACGACATCTCTGCTGTTCCAGGGGAGGCTTCTGAGAAAGCAACGTAAGTATACTGTGAGGCCTGTATCGTCATATTTGTCTGTAACTGTTGGAAGACTGAAATAAGGAAAGGGGGGCAAGCCCTTGCCTCACCCCACGGACGAACGCACCTGCAGCCAGACACATGTCTTTGCACATGTTGATCTCTGTGCTCGCATGAGAAACATAGACAAGTGACCAAGTTTATCGTCCCTGGCCGAATCGGCATGACTGCAATAATACTCAAACATAAGCATACTGAAGCCGGTTTCATGTTCCTGAATAGAGAGATAGGGTGGATTTACACCTGCCGGTACCAGGGCGTCGCAGGTTAAATATCCATCACAGCCTTTGCGCAAAAACATGGCCTACGGATAAATACCACAGGAAATGATGTCAGGATGGGTAAAGATGGGCGTACCTCAGCCCTGAGGACGAATACAGCATCACGAATGACGAAGATATGATGCAAAACAGCACCAGTACAGTGAACCTTGCTCTGGTTCTTTCTGCTAGATCGTGCCGCAATCGTACATGCGAGGACGAAGTTGTGACAAACTCGATTGTGTGGCACAAGACACGGATGTGGCGCCACCGAGAACGAAGGACATATAACTCGAGGAGCGATATATGTTTGGCGAGAGACTGAACAAGTGAATCCGTACAGAAAGAAATAATAAAACTATGATAAAAGACAGGAGAGAGATCGTCAGTAGTCGCCCACAGACTAATTGGAAAGAATGGAAAAGTGAAGGGTACCGTACATGAAATGTTCTGCTCTCTTCGTCACTTCATCCACAACCTCTGCATTTGTCCGCACCTCTGCCCCCTATTTCTTCGTCTCCTCGCCATCTTACCTCCCCACTTTCCTTCTCGCAGAACCGCGACAAGCCTCCTTCGTCGATACCGGATATCCAGGTCTCGCGCCACAACCCTTAGACCATCTCTCCAACATGACTGCCAATATGTGAAGCGGATTCGTGCGATGGGATGTAATGTGGTCGTTTAGTCGCGATTGTGTGCTGCCGCTGCCAATGTGAATGTTCGTGCACTGCTGCTTTCTACTCCCCGCCATAGCATGAATACCGGCGGGAAGCTGACTGTCTTCGTGGTCGTCTTCGACCTGACCGCATGCGTATTCAGCATGAAGCAAGACTCCCGATGCCAAAGAGTAGGGCACGACTCACGAGAGGACATTGAGACCAAACGTAGGGATACATAAGGTCCGGCTTCGTGCAGTAGAGTTTCGCCCATTCAGTGCGCTGTTGTCTTCAAGTTACCCGAGCCACCGCCACAACTTCTCACTACACCTCCGTCTACAGCTCTACTAACAACAGACGAATACGTCCGTGATGACCACATCTCCTTGACGCTGTCAGCGGTACCTAAGTGATGCGTGGTTTCTTCGTTGCCAGTTGTCCACTCTTGCCGCTTTGGAGACATCTTCCTTGCGCACGTCGAGGTGAGATAGGTTGTACGTTCCTAGATGGAGGGTAACATCAGGGTGGATGGAAATGCAGAAGTCGAGAGACACGCTGCCAATCTACGAATGCAGGGATGTATGAGTGTTTTGAAGAAGCAAACAAAGGCGGAAGATGACGCGAATGGAGGAGGGGCGATGGAGCGTAAATGGCGGATCTCGATATGTTCCGTATGCGATGGCGTCTTCATGGCTCGGAGAAGATACCATACTGACCTTATATGCATCCATAGCACCCGCGAGCTATCCGCACATCCCAGCCAGATTCCTCGTCATCCTCTTCCCCAGCTCCCGAAACTAGGTCTCGCCACCGGCTTCCGATCTGATTTGTCTAGGGTGAGTAGTTTCCGGTAGCGGACGGATTGAGTCGGATTCAGTGGTGCTTGAGTACGGAGGGGTTGAGAAGGGACCGTGGATGAGAATGTGAACACTGCCGAAGGTGGCAGATAATTTTTGGCCATCTGTGAAGTGATGGGAAGTGAATCTTGGGTGAGGTCTCGAGGTCGGGCTGCTGAGGGAGTTTCTATTCGAATTGTGTATACATTTGATAAAATGACCTCTACTGCACGGTTTTGATGGTGCACGTATGAGCTGCTTCGTAACTTTCTGTCGGAGACACTTCGACGTCGTCGGCAACGGCAGAAAAGTCTAAGGAAGACGATGAAGCAGCCTGGCTTAGATTGGTAAAGCAGTACGAACCAGCTTCTCCGAGAGCTCTATAAATGTATGCTTTTAGTCGGGAAACTTGGTGTATGGTTCAAAGGATAGGCCGACCGAGAGGGAGGTGCGAAGAGCTCGAGGTCTTGGAACCAGGTCGAATGCAGAAGCTAACAGCCGACGCGGCCTGATTACACGAGAGGTAAGTTATGTTCTCTACGGCATGGTCTCCCGAGGATCGAAAAGGTACAATGAGAGAGAACGAGTCGTCACCGACACCAGCAACGATAGGAAACGGCGTAGACGCGATCACGTGATTTTAGGTTCACGACGCGCGTTCTCTTTTTCTCTGTGTCTCTTCCTTCCTTCCTTGCTCTTTCTTCCTACACCTTCACTGCCTCAGACCTCCATGCCTCACGCTGCCTCTTTGGTCTGTTACAGATATCATAATCATGGTCTGTATGTGATGCTCCTCCTGACACTTGGCGGTTTGGTTGCTGTCCTGGTACTGCGGGAGTAGGGGCATGTAACTGCAATCTACAGGCTACGTGTGCTCTGGCATCCTTCTGGCATCCATCGGATGCTGACTATGACAGCTCTGGATGAATATGACTTGTTGCACCTGTGTGCATGGCACAATTTCTCCTTGAATGGAACCCAAGGTATTCGCCAGTGGCAGGCAGGTGAATTCAAAAGATCGTTCATCGCCGAAGATCCAACGTTGATCCACTTACTTGTTGACGTTATAGTTTTAGGGCTGGCTGAAGGAAGCTAACAGAGGGAGAATGGAAACTGTAGTCGCCTTCGTAATGGACGAGACAGGGTGCCTCATCTGCGGACACGTCAGTCACTCCTACCGACGATCGGGGACGACACGGTGGAGCTTGCTCTGTGTCTTTTCTGCGTCCAAGACGAATCCACCTCTCTTCCTTCTCGAAAACTTTCCCTGTCAGATCTGCCTTGCGATCAGTACATATACTCATCTGATGCGGCAATGTGTTGATGTATATGCGGGCCTATATTCCTGCTCATGTGCGACTCGAGGGAAGTAATCAATGGCCATCCGGGCCCATCCCTCTCTCTAGGAGGACCACCTGCTATTTCTCACTACGTTCATTGAACTCGCTGGTGCACGGCTGATCTCTGTGGTGTGGCAGCCTGATGCGTTTGCGATGCGAAGCGTTTTGTGATAGACGGCAGGGCCACACCATCGTTCTAGCTATAACAGCCGCCCCGAGCAGTCCATCTCTGTCCACTACGAGAATTCTTCACACGAAAAGCGCATCATTTTGAGACTTGACTCGCTGGTACTTCAGTTAGCAGCTGAGGCGGCCCTCGTACCCTCTGCTTGGCCTCAGTCGATAGTGCATATGCGCGCTTAGATCAAGCCTTTGCTTGATCACCTCTCTTTATGGTTGGGTACGCAATCTTTCAGGGATAGTGGGATCTCCCCGTTCCCGAAACTCGACTATTGTTGAAAATTAAGCCGCGTATGGCAAATTTTCAAACACTGATATTGTTTGCGAAAAGCTTGGTCCGTCAAGGTAGAGTTCGGCTGGAACTACTTGTGTTCGGCACCTACGGCTTCATAGTAGTGGTGAACGAGTATTCCCGTTCCCGCGACACATCGAGGCGTCCTTATTGCGCTAGTTTCTGGAATATTGTCCGCACTTTTAAATTCTAGATTCAGTGATCCATAACATCTGGCCCGTTCCCTGCTGATTGCATTGAATTTATCTTTTCTGGAGGTTCAGGGGGCTAAATGACAAGTATAAGGAAAGATTTCCGGCCTCTTTGAACGCATCCATTTCGTTGCTCACGCCCGAGAGTTGTCTCTGCGGGGCGATACACCGACTAGTTACATTACTTGGTCTTCAGCGCTAACCTGACAAAAATAGAGCCGGCGTGTCAGTGCAGTGCAACGCCACTTGACGTGCGTACAGCAATGCATGCGGGTTGTGCGCGGCTCTCGTTCGTTCGCTCCCACACACTCTCCTTACTGCCTACCGTCCACATCCTAGCCATGGCGTCGACCTCTGAAACTGAGAAAGGGCTGAACTTATTGTCTTTTGGTGAGTTACGATCTGCTGTAAAGAGCATTCTGATTACTCGAAACTGATACAAAGATATGGCATCTGTAGATGGGGGCGGTATACGGGGACTGTCGTCGCTCTTGATCTTGCGCGAGATCATGGAGAGGATCAGGTATCTAGAAGGTCTCCCGAAAGCCCCTCTTCCTAGCGAGTACTTCGACATAATTGGAGGCACGAGCACTGGCGGGTGCGTAGCTATCTACATACTCTCCACAAATTCACTTTGCTCTGATAGTGGCTTATCGAGTAATGTGATAGCATCATCGCCATCATGCTCGGCCGACTGGGCATGTCAGTTGACGAGGCTATCGACGCCTACCGTAAATTGGCCGCAAAGGTCTTTTCAGAGACCAAGTCGCGCTTCAAGGATGGAAAGTTCAAAGCCTCGAATCTGGAAAGTGTGGCCAGGGAAATCGTGCGGGAGCGAACGGGGAACCCAGAGGAGAAAATGCTGGTACCTGATGCTACGGTACCCAAATGGTGCGTGTGCTGCTCTGCAATCGTTGTTCATCGATACTCACAAGGATCGTTTGCAACAGCTTTGTTTGCGCTATGGCTGCGGCCAACATGGAGGCCGGCGTTCCCACTCTCATTCGTACCTATCGAGCTCCAGACAATTTTTTGCCGGACTGTACTATCATCCGAGCAGTCCGTGCTACAACAGCGGCTCCCACATTCTTCAAGCCGGCCTACCTCGACGAATCTGAAACGGCTGCATACATCGACGGCGGCATGGGCTGCAACAATCCCGTCGACTGGGTGCTCATCGAAGCTGAAAACTTATTCCCTGGTCGTAAGGTCGCGTCTATTGTTAGCATCGGCACAGGACACCCTGGAACAATCTCAATTCCAAAAGCCGGGCTCTTTCAGCGAGTGTTGCCGCTTGACGTCGTCAACGCCATTCAGCGTATCGCGACCGATTGCGAACGAAAGGCAAACGAGATTGAAAGGCGGTTCGTGAACATATCCGATGTGTACTTTCGGTTCAGCGTAGATCAGGGTCTTCAGGGCATTGGTCTGGGAGACTGGGAGAGGTCGAAAGATATCGAGGGCGCAACGCAGCAATACATGCGTCTTGAGCGTGTTCACAAACCGCTCGGACGAGCCGTTGCAGTCATACGAGAGCGCAAAGGGATTATTCCTGTAAACCAGATTAGTACGGCACGCATTCATTCTTGATCACTCAAGGTTCTCTTATTCATTGCTCTCTTTGAATAGACAGTGTGGTTCGCACGAAGGTTGTCAATAAGCTCGGTCTCATGCAGTGTCCTCAGCCCACGGTTCTTTTCACCGGCCGAGACGAGGTTCTCTCAAAGATGAAAGATTGTGTTATAGACGGTTCGGATGAGAGACATATCTTCACTGTACATGGTCTCGGTGGAGCGGGGAAAAGTCAGACGGCCTTCAAATTCGTCGATCTTCATTCTGCTGAGTCAGTCATTTCGCGAGCACATACGTTCTCATAGACTTATTCAATCTATTGCCGCCACAAAGGTTTTCAGATATCTTCTTCATCGACGCAAGCTCTGAGGAGACAATCACCGTCGGCCTCAGCGACATCGCCGTTGCCAGAGGAGTAGGAGAATCACATCACGATGCACTCTCGTGGCTGGCCTCCCAGCATACAAAGTGGTTGCTCATATTCGATGGTGCCGACGATACAACCAGGAACCTCCACGAATTTTTCCCTGGTGGAAAACATGGTGATATTCTGGTCACGTCGCGTAATCAACAGGTCAAGCACCATGCTCGTCCCCAAGGCGCCTCCTACGAGTTGCTGGGGCTCTCTATTGATGATGCAATGATATTGCTGCTCAGGACGGCCGGTTTGCGTGAAGATATCATGGCCGGAGATCATGCGACAGAGAGTGCTGTTGCCCTTCTCGTGAAAGTAAGCGGATCACAGCCCCTTCAACTGTTTTTTCACTAACTATATGATCCTCATACTGTAGGAGATGGGCTGCCTTGCTTTAGCTATAGTACAAGCAGGCGCTTACATCACTGACACCGGCTGCTCAATCACGGAGTATTTGGAAGAGTATCAGAAACACCGCAGGGAACTCCTAGCGAAGCGCGGCGTACAGCAGTCCGACAAGTACAAGTATTCCGTCTACACGACCTGGAATCTGAGTTACGAGCGACTTGGCCTTCCCGCGCGCGTGTTCTTACATCTATGCGCGTTCCTCCACTACGACGGCATATCAGAGACCATCTTCAGACGTGCCGCTGAAAAAATAAGAAGATTCAAGCCGTCGATACCTTTGACCGACTTCGAACAGGCGTCATTCGACAGCGCAAAACAATTCTTATCTTCCTTGATGGACGAACACGGGTGGAGTCGTCCAAAATTCCTTGCCATCACAACGGAGCTCCGTTCGTTCTCTCTCATCCAACATGACCCAAGAAATCACTATTACTCCATTCATCCGCTTGTTCACGACTGGTCCAAAACGACCATCGAAGATACGAAGGCATGCCATCTGTCTACACAGTCAATCCTTTCCGCTTGCATCAGACACTCCTCAGATGTAACTTCCGACAAATTCAGACGTAGTCTCATCTCTCACGTGAATGAGGTGCTAAAAGAGCCGAGGAGTTGCACGGTATCTGACTTCGCCACGGAATGGGCACTGGTGCAACGTGATGCCGGCCAATGGGAGAGGGCAGCTGAGCTCGGGAAAGAGGTGATGGAAACGAGGAAGCGAGTACTTGGTGATGACCATCTCGCTACAATATCAAGTGTGTCGAACTTTGCAACCACATACTGGAAACAGGGAAGCTGGAAAGAGGCCCAGGAGCTCCCGCTTGCTCGTCTCCAGCACCGTCCCGTACAGCTCCTCGATCTCTTTCCACCGGCCCTGATTCGAGTATGTGGCTGCGAGGTTTGACATGCTTGATAGTGTGTCGGGATGGTCCTCACCGAGCACCCGCTTCCTCGTCTCCAGCACTGTCACCTCCAGCTCCTCCGCCTCTTTCCACCGGCCCTGGTTCCGGTATGTGGATGCGAGGTTTCCCATGCTTGTTATTGTGTCGGGATGTTCCTCGCTGAGCACCCGCTTCCTCGTCTCCAGCACTCTCACCTCCAGCTGCTCCGCCTCTCTCCACCGGCCCTGATCAATGTATGTGGTTGCAAGGTTTGCCATGCTTGTTACTGTGTCGGGATGCTCCTCGCCGAGCACCCGCTTCGTCGTCTCCAGCACCGTCACCACCTGCTCGGCGAGGACCATCCCGACACAATAACATGCATGGCAAACCTCGCAGCCACATACTCGAATCAGGGCCGGTGGAAGAAGGCGGAGGAGCTGCAGGTGATGGTGCTGGAGACAAGAAAGCGGGTGCTTGGCGAGGAGCATCCTTACACACTACTAAGCCTGGCAAACCTCGCATACACATACTGGAGCCAGCATCAGTCGGAAGAGGCAAAGAAGTTGGGAGAATCTGTGGTGGATTTTTGCAAACATGTACTCGGGGAGGAGCATCCCTACACACTGACCAGGATGCAAAATCTCGCAGTGACCTATCGTGACCGAGGAAGAACCGAGGACGCGGAGAGACTGGATGCAGTTGTGAGAGAAACGAGAGCCAGACTGGGTAGCAGAAAGGATGTTTGAATCCTTGTATTAATTATTCCTGGAGTTCGGATTCTATACCACTGTCCGATGACGATAGACATTTCTCAATCTACTGCTCCATACACCAGCATCTATTCGCACAGATCCATGTTCATCGTCTAGATCCAAAATCCGCATACCCTTGTAAGTACAATACAATGACCAGAGTTATACTCACATCGTGGCCGGTGTTCACATAGACTCCAATCGGTAGGTACTCCCGAGCAATATGTGTCCCAAAGGAGATCCAATTGAGATGATACGCGGTCATTATTTGCTTCCTCGTCATCTTTGAAGAGTGTCATGACGATCTGGAGGGCGGTATGCGACAAGCAAAAGAAAACAAGAAAAAGAAATGTGTACGCAGAGATGGTTTACATTCGCCCAGCAAGATTTGACCAGGCGGCAGTAGCGGTGTGATGGAGACGATGGCAATGACGCGAGAACTGAATGGTATTTTGGCGAGAATTGACGGGTGGCACGACAAGCAGTCTGATGCAGGAAGATAGATTAGTTCGGCAGAAATGAGCTGATAAGCAAGTGGATATTTACACTGTTTGGAGAGGCGAGCATGCTATGACGGTGTAAACACATCGAGACTCTCGGGTTAACGACATACGAGGACGACATCGCAGACAACAGTACGCACTATGTTATCTCGTTTTCCCTTGCTGGTCAATTCCCAGTCTCAGTGTCATATTCGATGATACATAAATCTCCTCGTATACCCGTAAACACCTGTACCATTCGGAATGAGCGACAATGAAATACTCACCGGGAAAAATATACGTGTCTATGGTCGTACACCTCTTGCAGTTCACGCCTTCATTGCTCTCATAATAAACGCAATGAGCATGAGAGAGACGTTCACGTTTTTCAGACCCGAGAATCAGCGGGTTGCAGACATCCTCACAGAATCGCCTCTAATATAGATGGTGTCCGATTGATAGAGCTGTCTACCCAGTTCGAAGTATGCGAGAAGTCAAGCATAGTCAGATTCGCCAAGTGCAGAAGAGACGAAACCAGAGGCAGTCAATCTCCCAGATCAAGTCGAAATAGCAGCAAAGGTTCTCAGGCTGAAGAAGAACCGAAGGAAGGCTCAGAGACGATCGTCGATTCGAGCTAGGCTATGGTCGTCGCAGACTGTCGTAGGCTCTCGTCCATCACTGCATAATCTAGTCCTTTGCGGAGAGTAAAGATAGTGTTCATGATGGAGGCGTGTTAGTAATCAGAACGATGCAATACATGCCAGTGACGATTCATCCCATGAAAAGCGACAGAATTTAGGTAGAGCTGCGAGGCTCTACTGCACGGCTATCCGATCTGTGGACCATAATCAAGCACTGTAGCCATCTATTATTTTCTGAGTCCAGTCAAAGGTTGAATAATATGTCAACCATCCGCGCCGATGGGCACGTCGGTGGCTTCAATCCTAGCGAGCACGAGGTGATAGTACCCGCAACATAGCAAGTGATAAAAGCTAAATGGAGTATCGATCTCACCGTAGGCGCAGCGCTGATATGATGGGTAGTCGATGGTCCGGTGCTTGTGCTGTTGAAAGATGCGGTCGCTCACAGATGGAGGAAGAGACTGATGAAGGAGACTGATGCAGGCAAGCTCGAGAGATCAGAAATGATGGTGCTCGGCGATCGGCGTGCGGATCAAACATCGCCGGCCCTCTCGCCTATCTCTCGCCTATCTCTCGCTCGCTCCCGACCCGAAAATGAAATAACCGCCGGCGAAGTGGCCCCGCGCTGTGTGGCCACAATCTCTTCGGTTGACAAAGTTGGAGCCCCTGGCCGCTCTTGAGTCGGCGCTGCCTCTAACTTTCGCACTCATAAGTATCTCCACCGTCTTGTGTGCTGGGCGCAATGCGATAATTCCACCACGAGCTTTAGCGATACCTTCCATTCATATCGAGAGACGCCTCGTATATATTGCAGACGGCGACAAGTCACAGCATCCTTCACTCTTGATCTCAGTCTTCCATATCTTCACCGCAAGGATACCTCGCGGATTGAGGAACTCTTCAGTATGGCACCCATACCACCTACCACGAAGGCCACGCCGACGAAGATGTCAGAGGACCTTGGTTCCGGCAAGGGGAAGGGGAGGAAACGCGCACTGCTGGTTGGGATATGCTACAAGGGAGCAGAGGTATGGCCAGAGCTGGAAGGCCCATGGCACGACGTGAGGCAGATGAGGGAGTTGCTACTTAGTGCGTCCTTTTCGTTCTGAGTACAAAGCTCAGAAGGTCTAAGGAAATGTCTAATCGGTTAGATACGTATGGCTACACGGAGGAGGATATTGTGATCATGACAGACGAACAACCCGTCCACGAAGCATCACGAGTTCCTACTCGCAAGAATTTGGTGAGCGCTCACCGCCTTCATTTCCTCCCTTCTGATTGCACCATATATTGTTGCTAATTTTTTTCTGGTGGTCATGACAGAGACAGGAAATGTGCAAGCTCTCGAAGGACGCTCGGCCTGGCGATACGCTGGTGTTCATGTGTACGTTCCCGAAACCAAACTCTTCCACAGTACACTGAACTGTCGTTATATACAGACTCGGGCCATTCCGACCAGCAGGAGGCTACAACAGACACTAAAGAAGAGGACAGAATGGACGAGCGTAAGTGTTCCTCTGCCTAACAGCACCGCGCCCTAGTCGTTCCTCTACGGCAACCCCTTTCTCCGTGAGTTATCAACATTAGAAAGGAGCTCAGTGTCACGGGACCCCATTTCCAATAGTCAACTGGGCCATCTCATTCGCTGGACACTTGGACGGTGATTGGACTCGGAGACGCGAATGAACCACTGGCGGGGATGCCACATGCATCGCCGTCTGGCTCCTTGCTCTAGCCACAGCTGGGCCACACCATGGCAGATGCTCGGGCTCACCTGTATATGTGTCGAGGCCTCCGGTCTTTTACGGACCTTGTGCTGGACCTCTGACGCTGAAGCTGCAGTCATTGTCCAGTTGGCCACGAAGCCGACGAGCGTAGCTCGGCGGCTTCGTGGCCCGCAAGACCTCCGTGGAGGTTTCGACAACTCTGATAATGAACATGTCCGTTTTCCCTGCGAAGCACGGGCTCCGGCTAGTCACTGTAATATAACGTTGATCGACCCAAACAGTGATCATCTCCAGCGATGAGAGGAAAATCCTTGATAACGTACGTTTCTTCTTCTTCCTCTTCGCCGCCATGGTCTGCAGTGGGGCCACTCCCCAGCTGCCCACCGGTATGCCTGGTCGTCCTTGTGCTGAATTATTTGGCTTTTGACGTTGACAGGAGATCCGCCGAATTCTCGTCGATCCTCTTCCTTCCGGATGCAAACTCTTTGTACGCACCTTCCCTTTTCGAATATCGAGTTCCCATTGCGAGTAGTCTATTTGTTTCATCGAAATTTACTTCCGGGGACTTCGTTTACTTCCACTTCGCGTCACACCTTCCTTCTGCCCCTATCTGTGCGTTCCTGCGCCACACAATACTTCCCGTCTTCGAAGCATCAGTTTCCTTGTAGCTGATTTATTTGAACGATATGCGATACTGATGATTACTGCTGTCTCCAGGCCTTCCTCGACTCGTGCCACTCCGGAACGCTGCTCGACCTTCCTCATCATCACTGTAATCAGGTTTGGGTGCCATGGCTGTCGCAGGGTAAGCGGAGGACAAAGACTTTGCAGAATTGGAATGGTGTGTCCTGTTATCTATTTTTTAAATCTTTTTACAACCCGTGCTAGAATGTCATGCTGACTGCTGATTGATTGTTGGTTGTTTGTGAATACACAGTTAGGGATTTGGCGACGTGTAAGTCCATTGTGATTCGTTGGTATATGAACCTCTAGAGATATCCTGATTCTTTTGGTGTGAATTACACAGCTTCATCATCTCTCTTCTCTCTTCTCGACGACAGTTCTGCCTCTGAAGCGAACACTCCAACCATCTCTCCTTCACCTTCCCCTTCAAGCACTTTTGCGGTTGCCGACTCAACCTCGCCTGCACCTCCATTCTCTTCGAAGCCGGCAGCCCTATCACCTTTACCCCTCTCACCGCTCCAAGACCCTTCCCCATCACCTGGTTTCTCAGCACTCATACCTTCGGTGACTCGTCACCCTCTGTCACCGAGGAGACAACCGTTCACCACACCAACTACGTCTCCCTTACCCGCACCATCGACCGAGCTCGAGTTCACGCCCTCCACGCCACCCCTGACGCCACCTCCATCGTCGCACTCTCATTCCTCGCCCCGACCTCCATTTTCCGATATTTATATCAACTTGAATATCAATACCAAACTCCCGCCATCTACGATTGCGCATGGGTCGAACTCGCTTCCTGTACCCCGTACGAATGATGCTGTACCATCGGATCGCGCGTCCCTTCGTGCAGACGAGATGATCGGACTAGGGTTGAGACCCATTGGAAGGAGTGTTAACGCGGATTCGGGTCCGGGTATCGACGTCGGTGAACGTGAAATTGGAGCGGAAGGTGTGGAGGCGGGCACATCGCTGATGTCTCCGAACACGGCGATTCCGTATACGCCACGCACGCCGAGGAGGAGGGAAGCTCTTAGGGACCAACATGGATTTCCAGCACAGGATGCTCCTCCTATAACGAATCCACAAATCCACACTCAAGCAGACTTACTGACCAACGCAAAGGCCAGCGAGTCTTCAACATCTTCAAGCTCCTTCGCTGCCGACCCGAACCGACGCGCCGACGACCACGACCACTCCCATACTCATGTCCGATCCAACGTCGACAGAAATCCGTACCACTCCCACAATCCGCACATCTACAGCTCGGTCTCAGGCCCCTTTTTTGTCGCTTCTCCCGTGCAGTGTCTGAGTCCCGAGAGCACGTTGACTTGTAACGGATGGTGCGAGAGACCTCCGAGTCCTTTGGTGGGACCGTTGCCGGATGTGGTGAGCTACGACTTCTCTTCGTGTCACTCTTTGAGGGTGGACGAAATACGCCACAGTCACAGTGGCCAGGCACACTATAATCGCCCAACTTGCGCCATGTTGTGCCGGCGGCACACCACAGTGGCGTACATGCATTATCGTCCTTTAGCGTTTACCCCGCTGTGTAACTAGTGTACGGGTATATAAACCACTTATCCAAGTAATGTATATATATGTTTTCTGAGTTACATATGCGCCATTTACAGCACAATGAGAGTTGTGCTCGAGCTGGAAGGAGGCCTTAGATCGAGCCCGGTCCGGATATCCGCCGTGCCGCTTACATACCAGAGTCAAAACGACAGACCCATCGTAAAGAAAGAGTTATTGCTAGCGCTTTCCGGCCTCCTTTATTCTCATAAATGTTCATGGGTACTCGCAAGGCTGTATATGTGTCAGAGAAATTGTTTTTGCACATGTCTATGCATTTGTTCTTCGAGTACAACATACAACTGTACGATATA